ATAACTCTGTTGTGGGGAGCTAGTCTACAGTGTCTCTCTGGCCCCCAGCCTCATCCCACCAAACATTACAAACAAAAATGTATTCTCACAGTCCAAGTGTCCCCTTGCAGGATCCCTAGCTGAAAAAAAATCACCGACTTAGTCAAGTAAATACTTTACCTGGGACTTTACTTGCCTCCTATTATTTTACACACATCTCTAATTCCACCCCCTCATGAGACCTTCCCTATATAACTCATCTAAGTTAGGGTATTCCCCATGCCTGCAGCCTCCCTCCTCATACCTTCATTAACTATCACAGTGCATTTCAAGTGTGGACCCTTGGGCTCCTCAAACCTCTCTCAGTCTGTGAAGTTTCTGCATGAGTAGTAAAGTGATTAGTACTGTGTGCTATATTGTGTATTATTTGCCTTTTTCCTTCTGTACTGCAATTTGCACTGACAGTGCTAACACTTTGGCACAAACCAAGACAGTGACAACAAACTGTCCTGGCAGTCTCTGCAGTCTTCATCACCACATGCTTAATTAATAAAGAGCCAGTTTCTTGTAAGAACGCCCAAGAGAAAGCAGTGAAAAGTTATTCTGACCTTCAAGTACACAAATATTTTCAACATTTTGTGTGAGAAACAGGAAGTATGCATTGTATAAAGTACGTTTGGCTTCTAGAATATGACTGTCTTAAGGAAAAGCACTGTATGATTGTTCAAACTGAGTTAAACTAGCTGCTTTTTTGTGGAACATGATTTTTACTTGCAAGAAAAACTGACAAATTATTCAGACATATCTGGCAGACATTTCCTCAAAAATTAATGAAATGTCTGTCGTTTCAAGGAAAACAAGCAGTATTTGTAGCCAAATTTGAATTCTAAAATTTTAATATACCACAAATAAGCATAACCACCTGCTTAGTGCATAAGACTGTCCTGATGTGATCAGTGGTGATATTTAAAAATGTGCATTTTACATAACGGATAGTGTGTCAACATTTGAAAGATCAGTACATGTCAGTGATCCAACATTTCCTAAATGCATGTGATAAACTCATGCATGGTTAAAAGGTCCTTCTAAAGCACAGAGCCTGAAAGTTCATTCATATAGTTTCAAACTTCTGGGTTGTGACCAAGGAACTAACAACTGTCAAATTCTAGTGTTGTATCAAACATTTAAAGTGATTTGAAATGCCTTTAAAATACTCCTCTCTAGCTGGGCTTGGTGGCGCATGCTTGTAATCCCAGCACTCTGGGAGGTGAGGGAGAGGATAGCTGTGAGTTCAAGACCAGTCAGGGCTACAGAGTGAGACCATATCCCAAAAAAACCAAACCAGGCCAGGGATTTAGCTCAGTGGTGCTGCTGCCTGTCTCATAAGCACAAGGTCTTAAACTCAATCCCTGGTACCAAAAACCAAACCAAACCAAATCAAAACAAACAAACAAAAAACCACCAAACCAAATCAAAACAAAGACAAACCTCTTCTCTTTTCCATGATAGGCGGGCTATCCATTTATATCTATACACATCTATCCATTCATTCAACTAGCTATCTATCTGTAAGAGCCCAGATTTTCATTATATATTTAAACCAAAATAATGATAGACTGAATACAAACACAAATGAGAAGCCATCTGTCTTCTATTAAACCAGATATTAAAACTTTTCAAAATTTAAAACAATGTCACTCTTTTCACTACATTTTTAATTGTGGACGACATGATTATTCTTCATAAAAACATAATATTTATGTTAACATGGTGCTATGGTTTAGATCTAAAATGTTCCCCTCAAAGTCACCTGTGGTCAGAGGTGAGGCTTTGGAAGGTGACTGGTTCGTGGTGCACTATGTTCACCAGTGGAATAATCCACTTAGGAGTGCACGGCTGAATGTGCCATTAGGAAGTGGGACCTGATTGAAGGTGGGTCACTGGAGGCGTGGCCTGGAAGAGGGTATTCTTGTCCCTGGCTCCTCCTTTCTCTCACTGCTTCCTGGCTGCCATGAATTAAGCAGCTTTCCTTGTCCATACCATTCTACCACGATGTTTCTGACTTGGAGCTAGTTTACCATGAACTGAACCCCCTAGAAACTGTGGGGCAAGTAAACCTTTCCTCCTCTAAGTTTCTGGTTGTGGGATTTTGTCCCAGCAATAGGAAAGTAACTAATATACATGTACTGGAGCATATTGCTTTTAAATGAATACTTGCAAATTTCTTGGTTTTAATTTCTAATTGAGTAAAATCAATAGATAACCCACTCACATGAAGTTATTTCAGGTCCTTAAAGAGTATAAAAAAGGGATCTTGAGACCAAAAAGTTTAAGAATTGTACTACATCATCACATCAGTCTGTTTTATTATTTTTAAGCATTTATAACTACCTGAAATTCTTGTTATATGTTTAACATCCATCTTTCTCAATTAGCATAGAAACTCTAGATGAGCAGACACCTTTTCTATCTTAGGGAGTACTATATCCCCAGTGCCTAAAATGTGACCCAACACATAGTAAGTGTTCAATATTGGTTTGATGAGGGATGAGGGTGTAGCTCAGTAGTAGAACACTTTCTGGCATGCATGAGGCCCTGGGTTCAATCCCTATTACCTCCCCATCAAAAAAGCATACACAATATTAGCTTGATGAACAGAATGAATTTAATGAGTGGGCAGCACACTGAGGGACAGACGAAAGAAAATATATCATTTTAAATTTATGGAACACACACATCGTCCTTTCAATGATTAGTGGTTTCAGGATAAGGATGAAAGAACAGCCACCATGGGTAGTCCAGCAGGCAGGTATCACTTTCTACTCCGAAAGGCCTGCTCTCCCTCACACTATCTCTCTAGCTCTGTGCCCATCCCAGAAACATCCCAGTCATGGCACCACCTCTGTTTCTTGTGAGCTGTAGCTGCCTCCACCTCCTGCAACCCTGTAGATGGTTGTGACTGCTGGGTCCTCCTATAACTGTAGATGTTCAATGCTGAGACGGAGGCCAGGTTATGTACTTTTACCTTCTGAGATGGCAGATGTTACTGTGGCTCTGTCAAATGTTCCCGTCTACCTTCCAGAGAACACTTATTTCTAGTTTTTTTTTTTTGCGATACCGGGGGTCAAACTCAGGACCTTGCGCTTGTCAGGCAGGCACAGTGCCACTGAGCTACATCCCTAGCAGAGACACTATTTCTAGCTTTTTTGAGACAAGGTCTTACTATATTGCCCAAGATGGCCCGGAACTGGTCATCTTCCTGCCTCAATCTGGCAAGTAGCTGGGATTACAGGCGTGTACCACCACAACGGGTGTGTTTCTAGTTTTTGAAGCTAGACTTTTCATTTTTATTTCCTACTGCACTTCAGTAAGGCAGGAAAAGAACCTGAATTCTGTGCTTACTTACATACAACTTATCTGACTCAGAAGTTCTTATAGAATCTATATTCTTTTTTTTAAAAACAAACTATTTTAATTAACATGGTTTTCTAGTCCAAAGGGCTTTAATATTTGAAAACATTAAATAGAATGGGAAATTAAAGGGAATTTGGAGAATGCTGTGATCGGGCAGCAGCAAATACCAAAAGATTATGATAAAGCTAAGAGGAAAATATAGACAGCAGAAATAATAACTCACACCCACAGAATCTGGGGCCACTTAGAACAGGAATAACCAGTCATACACTCTTCAAACTTACCAAATCACATACATACTACACTGGAATGTAAACATATTTACAGTAAGAATCTCAAATCAAACCATCACAACATTCTATCACTGAACAAAGAAGGTAAGCTATAGTCTTAAAAAGATGGTAATAGGCAAGCAATCTTTCACCTCAAGATGTAGAACCATTTCTTTAATAAAAGACAAAAGTGGAAGATATCATCCTGATCAAACACTCATAAATAGCAGGCATCCAGTCCATGCGAGTCAGGTCCTATGGTGGGCACTGTTGGGTCAGAAATGACATTACTCTTCAAAGAGCTTGCAGACAAGTAAGGGTGGCAAAAATACAAGACAAACACTATCAGGCTGAATATGGTGGTAGTTCTGACATTTCCAAGACTGCTGCCCAAATGGTACAGATTTGTTTTAGTGGATAAGGCTGGGACAGGAAAGGAAGAAGAGGAAAGTAGGGGTTGTTTTAAAAGATGAATGGAGTTGGAAGAAAGAAATGGAGGTAAGGGGAACAAAACTATAGGCAGGAACAACAAAACAAAGGCAGTATACCTGACAGTATACTTGATTATCTAACTTAGTAGAGACTGGTGAAGCCTACAGAATAGGGGAGAAAAAGAAGAGCAACTTGATCACAAAAGGTCTTGTGTTGGCACAGTGAAGATGTAAGTCAGGAGAGATATTTTAAGAAGTGCAGTAAGAAGGTGATCGCTAAGATCTACAAGAAAGATAGATTATGAGGATCTTCTTCAAGAAGGAATGGACCTCAGACTATTCATAAACACTTTAGGAAGCAGAATATACAATATTTACTGAAAATAATGTTGTAGGGAAGAGGGAGCAAGATATTAACAGCATGAAAATGAGGTATGGACTGTAGTGACTGGGTAGATGAAGAGTCGGCACAAGCAGAGAGGACCTGTGAAAAATCAGGAGCAGTGTCCTCCCAGGAAGACTGTGGTTAGAAACACCGCTTTCAAGAATCAGATAAAATACCTGGAGACTGAAACATGGTTTAAATAAACTTGAAAACTTCAACGAAAAATGGACAAAAAAAAGATGGAAATGTGTTTGTGAGATGGAAGTACAGGAGAAAACTTGTGTTCCAGTAGCAGCAGCAAATGCTGCCTTTTAAAGCACAGGGCTAGGGAAGTAGCTCAGTGGTAGAGCACTTGCCGAGCATGTGCGAGGCCCTGGGTTCAATGCCCAGCGCCTCAATCAATCAGTATTTTAAAAGGCTCAAGTTGGAATTTATGGGTTTTAAAAAATTACCTCATTGTTTACCTTATATTTGGTTCTAATTAAAAGATTTAAAATATGAATAAAGCCAAATACATACCTTTTCTGCCTTTTTGTCAGAAATGTCCTGCTTTTCCAGAACAGCCATGCTCTCCTTCAGGTTCTTCACGATATCTGCAGGAGATTTGTGAGACTTTCCAAATGGGAACGGCATGACGGCAGCGACAGAGGCCTCTGCTGCACTCTGCCTGCTTGACCTGCAATGCAGCACAAGGCTCATGTGAACAAACAGTGGGGTCAACAGAAGCCACATTCTGTAAATCCCAATCTGGTAAGAACCCGGTATTTACAAAATCCATTTTACATGACTTTCAAAATCAGTAGGAACTGGGAAACCCACCAATATGTTTAAGAAATGAGGACACAGAGAGATGACTTACAATCACAGAACATTATACTTTATTTTTTGCTTAAATTCTTTTATTGGTACATTTTATGTATATAATACATTTACATTCATCATTGGGTGCTTGTACCTGTACATGATGTATCTTGGTTCCTATTTTTTCCCCATTCCTTGTCCTCCCTTCCCTATTTACAAAGACTTTGTTCTCATTTTTTCCTTTTCTCATTATTTTTCCTTTCCCTTCTTTCCCCTTCCCCTACCCCTTTGGACCTTTTCTTCCTATTTCAAATTATCAATTATTCGTTTTAATCCTTATTTACACTTTCAATTTCTCACACTAGAGAAACTATTCAGTATTTACACGTGTGTCCTATTTATTTCACTTAAGAGTATGGCTTCAATATGCATCCATTTAGCTATAAATGTGTCTCGTTTCTTATTCTTTATGGCTTAGTACTCCATTTTATAAAAAAAACCCCACATCTTCTTTATCCAGTTTCCAGTTGATGGGCACTTGGGCTGTTTCCAAGCTTTAGCTATTACAAACTGCCGCTATAAACATGGGTGCACATATATCGCTGTGGTATGATTCTTTTCATTCTTTGGGGAAGATACCCAGTAGGGGAACAGCTGGGTCAAATGGGACCTAGTTCTTTGAGGTATCTCCATACTGATTTCCACAGTGGTTGCACCAGTCTGCACTCCCACCAACAGTGGAGAAGGGTTCCTTTCTCCCCACATCCTTGCCAGCATTTGTTATTGGTTGATTTCTTGAGAGCAGCCATTTTTTCTGCAGTGAGGTGGAATTTCAGTGTTGTTTTTATCTGCATCTCTCAAATGACCAGTGATGTTAAACCTTTTTTCATATGTTTATTTGCTGCTTTTACTTCTTTGTCTGAGAAATGTCCGTTCATTTCAGATGCCCATTTTTGAATTGGGTCTTTAAATTTGGGGGTTCTGATTTTTTTCAGTTCTTTATATATTCTAGATAGTAGTTCTTTGTCTGAGGTATAGGTGCTAAAAATTTCTTCCCACATTGTAGGTCATCTCTTAGCTCTGTGGGTGGTTTCGCTTGCACTGCAGAAGCTTTTTAATAAGATGAGATCCCAGTTGTTGATTCTTGGTGCTAGTTCCCGTGCTACTGAGGTTTTGTTCATAAAGTCTTTTCCTATGCCAGTGTCTTCGAGAGTTCTACCTAACTTATCTTCCAGCAAGTTTAGTGTTTGTTTTAATATTTAGATCTTTAATACACTTAGAACACTTTGTACTTTTAAAAAGACTATTTTCTTTCTCCTCATATAATCTGCTCCCCTAACCACCCATGAGGAAGAGGTTTCTGGTAATACTGAAATAGGGAGCAGCAGCTACCACTCACGGGGCAACTATTATTCCCTGCAAAGTACTTAATTTGTCATCTCATGGAATCCTTTCAAACAACCCCTGAAGGACACTACTGCTGCAATGTACAGGAAAAGTTAAGCAAGGCTGAGAATCTGGCTCAAGGAACTAAGTAGTAAAATAAGCTTGGGTATGTCTGGATCCAAAGTGTCCTCAATCACCACACTATGCCTCAAATTAACAGGGTCTCAATTCTATGGTGAGGATGGAGAGGCAAAAGGCCAGGAAGGCGCTCAGCCCCAAATAGCACCAAGAACAGGCCTCCCGGCCTGGTCTCTGCTGACACTCCCACTCAGTGTCCCAGTGTCTCTGTAGCTCCTCCTGAGCACCCCCGTGGGCTGCACTGACATGCACACCCTTCCTCAGCACATCCGTAGGTCCATTCCAGTGAGCCCAGGATCAGTGTTGGAGAGAACCCTGGATGGCACTCTGTACAAATCTCTTTTTTTTTTTTGGTCCCGAAGATCGAACTCGGGTCCTTGCACTTGCGCAGCAGGCTGAGAAACCACTGAGCTAACTCCCTGGCCCCAACTCTGTACAAATCTCTTCACAGACCCACAAGGCTCTTAAACGCCACTTGCAACATATACTACTATTTCAGCCTGGATGTGACCACCATCGATGAAAGAACACACTGCATAAAATCCTGGAGATAATGAACTTCTGAAAGTTCTCATTTTCTGGGCAGTAGAAAACATTTTAGCCACATAAGCTACACTATTAAATTCTACAAAGGACAAGATACAACTATTCGAAAAATGGATGAACAATGGAAATGACTTGGGAACATGTTGGAAGTTGCAATTCCTTTTGCTTCATAAACTGAGGAACATTAAACTAGACAGGTGTGGAGGTGCATGTCTGTAATTCCAGTTACTCGGAAGCTGAGACAAGGGAATCAAATGAGATCCTGTCACAAATAAAAAAGAAGAGCTGGGGATGTAGCTCAATGTGAAGGCCCTGCGTCCAATCCTCAGTACAACAAAACAAAACAAAGCAAAGCAAAAGCTAAACTCATAGGTATTAAACAGTCTTGTATAAAATACCAAAGATAACACTTTTCAGGAGAAATTTACAGACCACTTAGATAGTGGTTTTCGAACTGTGAATTCCAACCTCATACTGCTCCCAGGTACCTCCTCACCTCCCACCTGTGCACCAAAGTAGGAAGAGGGTCTCAGGTACCCCAACTTTACTTTGTTTTTTTCCCCATGTAAACATATATATCTCTAATACATAGCATCATGACAGGTGTTTGGAACCTGGCCTAAAATTTCATTTGAAGAATTTGATTTTTCCCATTAACATTTGAGATACAGTAACATGCATATCTATTTACAAAGATCAAATATTTAGGGGGAAAGATCACACAAGTGAATGTTAGTGTTAAGCCTATTATTAAATCATAAATCAGCATGTTATTTCTCCACATGTTTTGATATGACCTGTTCTGACCGACCAATCTCTATCCCCAAATATCACCTAACTCTGCTTCTGTCAACCTATAAATCCTTTTCTGGATCAAATTAAAACCGTATCTTCATTAACCAAACAGAGGACTCAAAACTAACAGATGTCTTCCGCCACATGTTCTCAAAATTCAAAGATGCTTAAGTCCATTTTTAAATATCTATTCTAGTTGACAAGGAGTTTGGATGGGGAGTCACTCCCCATTTCACTATCTGGCTAGATGGCACACAAATCTTCAGTCTTTTCCATTACGTTTTGAGGGTGGAGGTTTGGGGGACACATGCAGGTTGCTTCTCCATAAACACAACAGGCCATATTCACAATAAGTTCTCTGAAAATATTATCTTTCCTTTCTATAACCTTGCAAATAAAGGCAGTGATGCTATATATGTCAGGGCTGGGTGCAGGGTGGGAATGTTTAATGGTATTTTGCAGGAAGTGTTACGGTGCTATGCAACAGAGATATTTTCAGCTCTGGCTCAATTATGGAAGAGGTGACTTTACAGGGTAAGGAAGGCTTAAAAGGTCCTACCCCACACCAAATGTTGGTCACAGCAGAAAGCACAGCTGCCAAAGAGAAGACACATACAAAATGCTTCTGTGAGGGAAGAGGGAGGCATGACAGAACCATTCCTCTTAATTCAAACACTGAGCAAGCAGCTAAGATTTTATAGAACATGTAAACTTAAAAAACGTACTCCGGGGCCAGGGATTTAGCAGTAGTTTAACTGCCTGCTGCACAAGCACAAGGACCCAAGTTCCATCCCCGGTACCAAAAAACCCAAAACAACAACAACTACAACAACAACAAAAATGTACTCCAAGGAAATAGCAGGAACATGTACACAAAAGGAGAAGTGGACATTCCTCAGCAGAATTAATCATATCAGCAAAAGTATTCATGACAGACTCATACCCAACCCTCACTTCATAAATCCTTTTATTTAGTTGTAAAAAGTATTAAATATTAGGTGAAATTATAGTTATTTTTACAGTACAGTAAATCTCAACAAATTATTTTATTTCACTTATGTCTTCAGATTCACCTCTTAATACAGCTACTCGAAACTGGAACTGGGGGTAAAAACAACTCCTAAAACTTCTGCATTAGAAAATTTGTTTCTTCTGTCTAGGTTTTTTTTTTTAAAATGTCTAGGTTTGTTATGTACTGACCTTAAATATACATTAGAATGATGTATGCACTAAGTGACCAATTTTTAGAATAATTCAAAATATAGAAAAGCTTACAATTTAAGAATGCCCCTAAGTGATGATAAACCACACAGATAATACATGTGCCTAGAACACTATTAAGAGAGTAAGAATAATAATATTTTCAGAAATAGGTTAACATGCATAGAACTACTAAGTATTGATTTTGTGTTGCTGATTTACAATGAACACAAAAAAGAAAACTAAAGTAGCTTCCGAGGAAGAACCATTTGTCTCAACGTACTTTGTCTCATAAGCAATATGGGGAAATTATAGAAATGTTGTATGTTTTAAAGATGTGGAGATTGAGCCCAAAACAGTCAGTCAAAGGAGTTGAAAGGTGTAAAAAGGGTAGGAATCTGGCATCTTTTTTTAGGAGCCTTTTTGGTAACTATTTGACTCCTTTGATCATTCATGTGTGTGTGTGTGTATATATATATATATATATATATATAACTTTGATAAATATAAACCCTAAATTTAAGGAAAATGGTTGGTAAAATAATTCATCTGTAATACCTAAAAAGTACTATCTGCAAAATATTGAAACTGAAGGCAGACAAAAAAAAGTGGCCTCCCAACTTTCTAATCTTCAAAGTTAGATATTTTCTATTTTATTCAATTCCATTTTTAAAAATACATGGGATTCTATATAAATGAATCACTAATTGGTTTTAGAAGATTTGGAACCTTTCAAAAAACAGGCTTAAAAAGAGTTAAGCTTCATG